TAAAAAAATATTTGAAACGTTAAGTAATAAAATATAAGTATTTGGTACTGATGATGATTGTTTGAATCTTGTACATACATTATATTTTCAAACAAAAGAGAAAAAAAATAAAATACCTTACATATGTTTATACTTATCAATTATTCATACAATCTATAGAATTAACAAATAAATTTTTAGAATAACTTGACCCAATATCAGTGACTAAATATTTGAGTATTTTTTCTCAAAACATATATCTCAAATTCAAGTAACTGTAGAATACCATGAAGAGAATAAAATAAATAAAATTAAGAAGGCAGACTGATAATTAATATGCAAATACACAAATACAAATTGCGTATATTATTCTTAAGCCTTGATTTAGCCTGATTGCGGAATATCCGCTTGCTCGGTGACTTACTCTTTAAAATAAACGTAATTAAAACACGATAAATACAGAAACTGATATACATATTATTTTCTAAAACTTATAATGAAAGGACCGAAATTCAAAGTCCGATTGAGTTGACATCGGACTCCATCGCCGCGCCCTTCAATATAAATGTAAATACAGAGGAGTTGAAATATGACAGTTATAATTGCTTTATTGTACTTGGTATGCCTAGTTAGGGTGACGATAATATTACACTAAAAATATATACTAATATTTATCAAGTTATTCAAAAATATATATTCAGAAAGTACGTACCCGTCAATGTAATTGTTGCTCTACATTCCCATTAATCTTATTGCTGCCTGATTTAAACAATCGGTTAAAATTAAAATCAATAAGAAATAAATTAAATTATATACGCATTATATTATAACACGAAGATTTCATTATCCGAACACATATCAATACCATTGAATTGTTAAACATGATAGGTATTTTTATCCTTATAAAATAAAAAGAAAAAATCCGTAACTTGAGAGTATATGGTAATTCTACATCTAGCGATTGTCGCTTTCCAGCCGTATGCTAATTTAGACGAATATAGCGTAGAAATAAACTGAGTTCGAATGTAGCCGACGCGAAAGTTACTCGCACGGAGTTTCCATAGTATTTTACCACATAAATAATGTGTGTTGGAATACTGAAATTAGAATAGCATAGGCTTTAAACATATATATAAAAATAAAACTTCACGTTTGTCTGCGATTCAATATTTCACATACTTTTGTTAAATTATCGTCATTTGATTGGTTTTTCTATAATTATGGTGATAAAACAAAATTAATGTTTAAGTACTCATTTAACAAAAATATCACTTCCTTTGATGTCTGCATAATTCACAGCTTCTGAACTTTTGAAGTATTGAGTTAAAAGTGTTTTCGACACTGACATAGTACGGTAACTAGACACATTAAATAAATTCCATCTAAAAGTAGCTCATAAATATTCACAAGTTACTAGAGCTCATTTAGATACTGCCCCTCTTTTTTGCATTATTGGCTTAATACACCAGAGAGATGTTTGGATCAAGTTAAACAAGGAGATCGATGCTGGCGCTAATGGACCAGTTTTATTAATTACAGGTATTATCGAGATATAAAGTGGCAAAAGATTTTAACAACCAAAGCCTTTCTAATCATTCAAGACTTTGAACTAGTCTAATCACTCATCACTTTGAACTAGTTTATATTTCTTAAATCTTTATTAATATTCTTTTGTATTATTAATGATTGTATACAAAACTGTTAAAATGTCCTTTTTTAGGTGTATTATTCTTCGTAATATCGAGTCAGCGTCGACTTTTAATTCAATTAAGTAACATTTCAAACTCTTTTCATATAGAGACATTAATTATACTCATAACGAAAGTTACTTGCTTTGTTTTAAATTGAAACAAAAACTTTAAACTTGTACCTATGATAGAAAGTCTGAATTTCTATACAAAACAAAAGCTACCTGTTATGTAACTGTCTAGACCGAATATAATAGATGGAATTGTACAGTTCCACTACGATTTGGGAATTGATCGAGAGTTAAGTCACGATTGTTGCTGCGTCCGGGATTCCTACGGGATTCATTATCCCAAAACGCAGGGACTGATTGCTGTGTTGTGGTATGATCGCAGAAATGTGACATGTATATCTGGACAAGACTGTAAAAAACTTGGTAAAGAAGTTATGTTTTTATAGCTTTATTACATTTTGATATTATAAATGTACTAGAAATTTTGATTATTCTATAGCTATGATCAGCTTTTTTCTTCTTACATAACAATATTAGTTGAATATTTAAGCGGCGGGTACTGGTTTGTCATGATTTAAAACTTCACATCGCTATTATATTTTTGTACTATAGATGCCAATAAATGTTTAGTCTTAAAAATTTGGTCAAGTTCAAATTCGAAACTTAGTATTAAATGATATTTTAATAGCTATTGTAACAAGTGGCGCCATCCATGACACACTTATTATAATAAACTTTAATTCTTAGAATTATTTTTGACTGAATATTAATTAATAATAAATTAATATAAAGTGGATACAGCGATAATGTTATGGAACCTGATACTAAATTTAATTTATGTAGTAAAAATATAAATAACTATAAGTCATATTGAAATAAATATTAGTTACTATTTATAATTAATTATAATACTGAACCTATGTTAATTAGGCGAAACGTTAAGGCATCAACTTGTATTAGAAAGCTATATGTAAATACTGGCTTCATCCATTTTGAAAGGCATTATTAGAACAAACACTAAATATTAAGAGTCATGACTGAAACTGTACCTTGATCACTACGATCATCCCTTTCGTCATTTTAATGAGCAGAATTTTTTAAATATAAAGAAACTTAAAATGCTTGTTAGTTAATATTGTAATAAAGTAAAGTATTTTTTGTTTGAAATTTTTCTGTATAAGTACTTGCATTACAATTCTAACACAAAATTTATAAGTCGCGACTTACGGATCCGCTGAACCTAATGAATGCCATTGTGATAATAGTTCAAATATATGACATATAACACTTAGAGATACCTAATTGATATATGTATTATTAAATATATCAAAGTTTAGTATGTTAAAAATATATTTTATAGTGAATAAAAATTATAGTTATAAATTAAAATATATAAAAATGCTCCGCTATTAATTTTATATATTAAGGAAAATATTTAGAAACTTTTAAATAAGAGAGAAATCAAATATTCAACGCAAAATATAGTTATAACAGACGAAGTCGCTATCAACAGCTAGTTGGGAATATAAATAAATTGGACAAAATTATCATAAATACGTCAATGTATAATAAGTTACACAATCAGCTCGCATGTAATAATGACCGGAGGGATGTATTGCGAATTATTTATTAGCACAGCGGGTGATTCTTTATAACATGTGCCCACTGTAATCGATAGTTTTTCATAATTCTCTGTTATACACAAATGTGAATACATCATATCACTAGGACGTAATCATTTGAGAGGGATTTTCGAAGCTTATACTCATACAAAAGATTGTATTGCTTAAACTTGATAATAAATCTTTACATTTTTTTATATAGCATATTATTTTTGTTTTGTTCTTCATTTAAAAACACTTATAATAATATTAAATAATATTTTGAATGTATGTTACTAATGGCTAGGAATAAATAACATTACCTTTTTGGGATACTTTAGTAGTAGAGATCTGTCGTTACATAATAATTATTATTGGTTGTTTAAAACGCAAAAGACAAAGAAAATATCAAAACTTTGACCGTGAATAATAAGTAGGTAAGGGTGCTTTGTTATAAATAATATTTTTATTAAGTAGTATTTTGATTACAATAGCTTTCGAACCAGTGAACATAGAAACACTAATATAAGTAGCTAATGCAAGTGTATAATGGAATTTGTCAAAAATCGAAGGGGTGTTGCATCATCCCCTAATTTGGTTTTTATTTTATTTCAACCCCATGTAGGGTAGTGGAATTAGTCTTACCATATGCGCGCCTACTTGTGTTACACTTGGAGCGACTGTTCATTTTGGGATTGTGCGTTGTAACAGTATTAATATAAACGTATCTATTAATGTAGATAAACTATAGTAAAAAAATAATAATTTGTTTTTCATAATAATTAATTATTAATGTGTCACTTTTATTGAAGGTTTTCAAATTTTAGTAATATATTTTATTTGAAGATGTCTTATTAATATTTTAAAATCGACTAACAGACTTAAAGAGTCAAAACATAAGAAAAGATAATCAAAATATATTTAATAAAAATAATATATTTTTTATAACCCTGCCGATGTAACGCACACGCCCCGTGGTACATGACGTAATCCGAGTATGGACCATGTGTGTGCTGGTTTAAAGTTTGATCTAATAGCGATTACCGGCACGCACCACTCATGTACTTCGGTGAGATTAAGTGCCCATTAGTGGTCAAAGAAAAATAGGGACCAAAAAAACATTGAAAAGAATTTTATTCATAATAAAGTTCTTAATAAATTATTATTATAGCTAGATTTTATAAGCAGTAGTGTTGTTCTATTTATATAAAGTAAATGTTTATTTTTAACTACTATTCTGTAGAATTAAGTATGAAATTAAATTAGACGAGTATAATGATATTGAGATAATATGAAAGATACATGGGAAGAATAACTGTAATTAATACGTCATTTACCAGAGGAGAAAGTAGTAAAAATGATTATTATTTTCTGGTACTTATTTATTCTGTACTAGTTTTTAGCTATTGTCTCCATAAAATAAATATAGCACGCAACTTCCAGTTATCTTTATTCAGACTTCCTCACATACTATAATAATTTCAAATTTTATACAAAAAAAAAAGTTTTATTTACGAATTTATCCTAATGATTGCTGTAGTTATCGTACTCTTTGAGAAACATCTCAAAAACATATACAATTTCTATTAAACTTATACGTTAATGTTAAGCGTAAACAGTAGCAGAACATAAAATAACTCTAAGCTGAACTCGCAATAAAAAACCGCGATACGATCTTACAAGTCAATAGAGTTACATCGTTTATGCAAAACCGTTTTATCTCAGCCATTATTTTCTCCTAACATCATTAGAACTTCTTCCACACACGATATTGAGACCGCTTGATCACAGAATAACGCATTAAAGTCGCGAGACGTGTTTAATCTATAATGCGCCTTATCGCAATATTTTCCATTTCCGGGGTAGAACCGGGAACGTCGGGACATCGCCAGGGGAAATAAGGAAGGCTGAGTTTCACTTTGTTGTTTTTTTTTACCAGAGCAGGGGAAATTTTTCGTACTTTCCTCTTCGTTTACACTTACAGCAGTTACCGGTGTTAGGAGCGCGATTGTTACCTGCATTCCGTACTCTTGAATTAAATATAACCGTTCAAAGGGTGAAAGGTCTGGATTTGCATTTCGTTTGCAACAATGAACCATTCGACTCGGATCTTCATGTTTAAGTTGGTATTGTAATAAGTAAAAAATATTACAATCGCTTTGTTTCCCAAACCAGTGTTTTGGTTTGAAACTCAAGTTAATTAAAAAGTGAACTCGTTTTTTATTGCTAACAGTTCTTTCGTTATGTATGTATATTGTAAGTCACGTTCAATTTGTTTCGTTTTATTTTCATAATACTAAATTAGGTACTAAAATATTTAATATATTTATTCCATAATATAGCTTGAGAATCTTTTATAAATATTCTGGTATAATATTTTCTCAGCAGGTATCGGTGTCGGTAATTAGTTAATGTTCTCGCTCATCTCCGATAACTTATTGAGACGGAGCACTTCCCCACTCCCCCCACTTCGAGATCAACTCGCGGGAATTGGCGAAAAACTCCAGCAAAATATTAATGCAGCCATGGTTAGCATTAAGGCAAGTATACCGTTGTATTGATCATCTTTATATTGAATAATTTTGATACTTTGACTTGATTTTCGATAGTGATCTGCGTAAGTATATAGAGTGATCTTCACCTATAAGAAAATCTTAATGTTAATCTTTTTATAAATTTTAAAATGATTTGATTTATACTCGTATTTTAAATTATTGTGTGATATACATTTGCAATAGTGAAACTTGTTTCATAAGCACATATGATGAGCATATGCTCATGAATTAAGATATGTATATACATATCTTAATTCTTGTATATACAATTTATTCTGAATATACACATTTTTATCACCAAGTATCAAGACAGTTTTCATAAATAAAATAGTCTTGGTCGTGGATTAATCAGGAATTGTTTCATTTCCACTCCACCGTGAAAAATTGTCGCCTTCATCGCACCGGCTCCGTTAGAACGCGGTGATGCATCATCTCTTATTCCAGTCTGATATTAAAGAATACATCAGTATAAATATTAAATACTCAATGTTAAATTGCGAGAATAAAATATACACAGTGTCAACAGCTTTAAGTCTTTGTTCTCTTAGTATATATTAAAACTTTTTAAAACAATTATTACAATTATGATGTGTAGTATTATTGTTTGATTTAAAGTTGGTTAATATGTCTAAAAAAAATTATTATTTTGAGACTACTTATCATTGATATTTATTCTATAAATATATTTATAAAACTGGGTCAGCAATTAAATGGGGGGTTTTTATTAATAAAACAAAAAACGAAAGGAAAAATATGAATGGTGATGACGCATTCGTTTTTTCTATTTGACACATGGTTTGCTACAAATTTAATTAACTCCATGAAGCGTGTTTCCTTTAAATCTCAGCGTCATGTTACGTTCATACTTTTCCCATAATAAGTTCACTCAGTCCGTGATTGGCTCTATCCCGGCGGGAGCAAACTTCGTCAGCAAATGAGAAGTGAGCCAACACGATCATAATTTATAAGACAACCCGTATTATTTATTATCAGGGCTTGTATAGCGTTGAGTCATTTCTGCTCCAAGTGTATGAAACGCAATTATAGTATACACGTTATTATGTCGATGTTCATTACGATACTTTTATATTTAATTAAACATATACATATACAAACATGTTTGGCTTATTTAATAATTATTAGTAATTGTTTCAGTTTGATAATATAAGTAACGGTGAATAAAAATTCTATGAAAGTGCTTGAAAAGCAAACAAAATATCATTATTACCAACAACTTGTAATATGTAAAATCTTCTGTAAAATTTATAATGCAATATTATGAAGAACATTTATGTGCAGTTTATCTGTAAAAGTGAATGTGATAGTTTTATTTAGTATCAATTCGTAACAAAAGTGCTAGTTTTATATGTATACTTTACATATATTTATTGTGGAATTATCTCAGATACGTTTTTCATTGCAACACACGGTACAGAAATAAATAAGCACATGAAGAAGATATATGGTGTGGCGAGGGAATACAATTCAGGATAGCAAAGGTCTTTCCCGTTAGTATAAATGTAAGTAAATTTGAATAAAACATGGCTACCCTCCTGCGGGGTTGTTTTTCTTTGTTTTAATAAAATCTGCTTCATGTTATCTAGATAACTGGTGTCCCGTTATGTATTAATAGATTTAATATTGAACATTTAATTATACGCTTTGAGTTTGTATTGATAACATTTGACGAAAATTATCTATTAACATTTTCGTGATGTCTGCATAATAATCGAAACTTGTTGCAATAAAACACTAAACTACACTTTTATTTAAAGCTAAATTTCAAAAAATAGAATATAAAACCGATACAAAGTAAATGATAATTTTATTTGAATTCAACATACAATACTATATTAATGACCATCGACTTTATTTGTCATGACTTTCAAGACCCTTTAAGAGCAAACTTTTTTAACTTATGGAAATGTTTAAAAGGGTCTTAAAACAAATGTCATATGTTTATGGGATTTCCGTGTTATGCTAATTCTGAGGGTAACAGAGGGGTAGTCTCTATACCTTAAGAAAATTCAAAATTTGTATGATATCACTTTAATACATATTAAATTATATTAATATTTAATATTACCAATCAAAACAGGGACGTAAAGCAAACTAAATTATGCGGTCACCCTAAAGCTAAACTAAGCTAAACGCTAACCCGATGAGGCATAATTTGCGACCAATTAGAATAATGGTCTAGCTTGTGATGTATGCACGATGTGGAATAGAGCGGATGATTTATAAATATTTTGACATATTTAAATTAATTTTAATTACATCGCAATATTAACAAACTCCCAACTCACTATGAAAATTATAGTATACTGAATTTTTAATTATAAACATATGTAACAGTTATTTCATTACTTTTTAAATATGTCATCGTTTATTAAATGTATTTAATTTATCAGAGAATATTCTTCAACTATTAAATGTATAAATATAGTATAAGAAATGCTTTTATAAATTCAATAAAATAAATAGTATGAATGTCCTCTCCATACATTTCGTTGTTCCTTAATAAATGTACTGGGATGCGTTTGTCCGGTGGCGGGCCGTCAGTGTCGCGATTGTAGTCACGTGTCTATTTATGCAGTGTGCGGTGAATTTTGTATCGACGTGTCTGGTCCACTCCAATCATTGAAAATAGTTCTTACTTGAAATGTTGCATCATTTATTATAAATTCTATGAAATCATGTTACTATATGCTTGTATGGTTTTTGGTTTATATCTACGATTGCTTGTTTTTGCTTTGTTTTCGATCGTACTTTGTATTCCTTTACCAATTGGGTATTAGTATATAATTGTAATTCCTTAGTTTGTTTCTAACTGTTTCTTAAAGACACTTTTTTGATAGTACAATTACTTTTATTCAATCCGTATTTTAATTGGACCTGCATTAATCTTACTGCGTGTTGACTATAGAGTTATATATCGACAGATATGAACGGCTTGTTAATTTACTGAGATGTGTCCAGCAATCCCTCTGGGACATTTGAAGGCCTTTACATATTAGTGCTACTTAACAATTGTTTGTGTGATATGATTACTAACTCTAAAGTAAGACACGGAAATTTATTTTAAATTCTTTATATTAAAAATTAAAGTCAAAGTTGTTCTATTTGTTAAATGAGTATAAAATCACAAGCAAATCCATAATATACGACAAGTATATAATACAAAAGCAGGTAAAGAACCCCTGTCAATCTCCACTTAATTTATGTACACATTTGTTTGACCAAAAACATTTAAACTCAAAGATTTACGGCAGCTGCCTAACTTTTTCAGCGGATTACCTGTCTTATGGTGATTTCCAAAACAAAATCTGAAGACAAAAAGGTTTGCTATCTATATTTATTTTCTACAAATAAATACAGAACCATTTAGAGCCATATTTAATAAAGTTATGTCACAACTGCTTTTACTCAGTTAAATATAGTCTTCATTAATGAAGAAACGTGCAGAGCTTATTTTGCTAAAATGTAATATAATGTAATGTGAAAAACTTAACATTTTTTTATTAAAACTACTATCACATCAACAATTAAATATTGTTGAATTTGGTTTTAACTAGGTATATATTATTTCTTAGGAGTTTACGTTCTGTTGTTTTAAAAACACAAAAACTGTTTTAAATAATATAACAATAAAAGCTTATAAATAATGTACGGTTTGTATAAATTATAGTTATATTTAAAACTATTATAATGACACAGGATTTCCACAATGAAACAGAGTTACTCGGTATTGGCTGCAATTAACATGAAGCGATTAATTAGCCGCGCATTAATTTGTGCAGTCGTGAATACAATGGACGCAGATTAACGAAAATTATATATTAAAATAATTTAAAATAAATAATATTTATAGCAGCAGCCCCAGTAATTAATTTTCTACGGTGATATAGTTTATTCTTCGATATTTTTATACGCTTTATTTAATGCGACACAGTTAAGTGAAGTGATTAAATGAGAAAAATTACGATTGGATATATAGAATTCCGTCTCATAGTTAATAAAGTTAGGTTCTCCTTATTGACTTCCAATAAATCTGGTGTTGGTAATATAGTAGAAAAGTAAATTCTATTAAATACATTCAAAAACTATATAAAAATTCGTAACGTGTAGATAGACACTTTATACAAGTTATTAAATAAAAAGTCATTCTTATATATTGTCTTGTTTATACGCATGTGATGAAATGAATCGAAATGTTCAAAACAACAATAAAAAAATGTTAATTATATATTCATACATAATTATAACATTTTAAATTAATACCAAAATTAGTAACTTCAGTGTATTAACGGTCATAAATATCGACGACAAATTCCCGCCAATCGCGACAACGAGCGTCCCATTTGTCGCGGTAAATAATAACCAGATGAGCGAAATTTATCAAGCTTATTTATAGCCCCATTATTGTGTTAGCTATATTTGTATATTCGGTACATTGTTTAATAGTGACGTAATTTGCTCACATTATTGGCTAGCAGACTCCATTATTTCAGACATACATATGTTAAGACTGATAAAACTCGGTCAGTCTTTAAATGAATGGATATACCATCTAACTTGGATTTTAATGTTTAAATTTGGATTTTAATGTTATCTATATGTTATATGTCAACTTATATGTTTTTATAAGAAGATAATAATTTAAATTTGTATATTTTCTGTAGTATTTGGCTTGGAATTTAATATTATTTACTATTGTTTGAGATAAAAAATAATAACACATACCTATTTCGAGTAACACAATCAAAAGCAGTAAACACAGTGTATCTCATGAAAAATAATAAATGTAAAAGAGCTCGTTTACCCCCAAAATTACCTACTTAACGAGGCGAGTTCAGACGCTTTGTGTCATTATAACCAAAAATTAAACATAATATTTCCCTCAGGACCGAAACAAAACTGCGAATAGTTCGGTAATATCCGAAATTTACCAGATAATGCTGCCTCGTTGACGATCCCCGAATAACGCTTGATTTGCCAATAAATGAACTAAATTGAAATGTTTCACGCTTCGTTAAAAAGGTCCTATAAGCCGTTTATAATTTGAAACTAATCGGTAAAAACATTCGCCCTATTATACAATAACAATTTTAAATGTTAATTAATGAATCTGATTAAAATAACGCGCCACATTAAGTGAAGCATTCCCAATCCTAGTTAAATTAAATGATTGTGATATTATTTTCTGTTAGTTGAATTTGTAAATTTGTTAAACAACAATATTATTTGTACTCCCCAATTAACAAATGAAAATAATTCTTGTCAATATTTTGAACGAAATCCAGTTTCGCGGTAAAACGCTTTCGGGGATACCCAAAATACTTATACTTAATTAGTCAGATTAGATGAATACGTGTTTTACTCAATTATTTTTAAATATATTATCTTCACATGAAAAAATTAGCTTAGTCATAGGTAATTCAATTAAATCAATATTTCTAAATTTATGAAGTGCAAACAATTTCATCACGACCACATAATAAAAAGACAAAAAACCAACCGCGAAAATTATGCATGAAGCAATGTTAGTCAATGAGGTGAACAAAATACTCGCACACCCCACGTCTTATACTGAATTTTTTATAAATTCGATGTCTCGCTAGCCTGAAATTCATTACGGCACCGCGTAAAAATGCCTCCCTCATTGTTTAAACACAAAATCACAATAAACTTGCTCTTGTAATGTTCTATGCATTTTAAGATGCTGTAACTTATGGAAGCGTTTTATGGTTTTCGTCTAAGGCAGCGTTTACACGGAGGATATTTATATAGTAATAAAATAATTAAAAAAAGGTATAAGTATTAAATTAATGGAAATCTTTTTTATATGAATACTACGGGGGTATAGGGGCAAACTTTTCGCCCCTTATTAGTGAAGCCAACAACTATAACTAATCTAATTTCTTGTTGGATCATATCCTGAGGGAAGACGGCTATGAGC